ACATACACTTTCTTCGTCTCTCAGTCAAACGTTTTATTAATTGTATCATGGATTACCACCCTTTTCCCTGAAAATTGTACTTTGAATGATAAATGATTTTTTTTACTAATAAGCGCAATTTAATATATTTGTATGACTTTTTACTGCCTGATTGGTTGTCATGGTGAATTTTTGAAAGTTCAAATAAAACACGTAGAAGATGCTATGAAAATATTTTCTGAACTTTCAGACGTTGAATAAAATTAGTTTAAATAACACGTACTACTTAAATGAATAAACTTACATGACTTTGTAATGGATGTTCAAGATAAAAACAGTATACGTTTGGTAGAAATTCAGTAAGGGCAGATAACGGTGTGCCGTGACTTCTATTTTTAAAGCACCACAAGGATATTTCGTCTTTTAAACGTACCGATACATGTACTTTGTTATGATGGCTCGTTACAAAAGCATTTCTCTGGTTTTCTAATAATGCGAAATTAAAAAAAAAAATTCTCAAGATTTTGCCTTTAAATATAGAACAAGGAATCTGAAACGAGACGATGCATGTATATCGTCTGTTTTTGGTTTTATACGTTTCCATGACAAGGCAGTTGACTCAAGTAAGCCAAAATGTAAAATTCTCTTATTGGTCAGATTGCCCAATTTCAGATTTAAAAAAAAATACTTGTCCCGGGGACAGTGATGAAAACGGAACTTGATCAATCTTTTTTGTTGTTTTTTTTAGTGAAATTTATAAATATTCAATGTCATAACCAAAAATGGTTTGCATGTAATAAAATCCATTTTACATAAAAAAATAAAAAAAGACAATTATTTCTTTCATATATATATATATATATATAGCTCAATACAATAATTTGTGCTTTAATCTTTATAGAACATACAAATAATGTAAGATTATCGAGCTATATTAAACATTAATGCCATTAGGAACGGATGCTTAATGTCTAGAGGCAAATATTTCATGTACATTTACGACGATAAAAATGTAACTGTATATACATTCTATATGTAGGTTATTTTTGTGGTGAAGGGCAGGAAATTTAGGTTGCAATTGGAAATCAGATGGTAAATGTTAGATAAATACAAAAAAATTGTCTTGGCAATGCAAAAACCAAATATGGATACATGAAAGGGACTTCTGCACCCCAGTCAATAAACCTGTATTTTTTTAAATTTTAAATCAAGTTTATTTTTACTTATTGATTGTTATTTGCTTAACGCCCAGTGGCAAATATTTCAAACATATTCAGGACAAGAACAAATTAACAAGAATTGCAAAAGGTAGTCGATCATGCAAGGGGAGGTCGATCGGGATGAACAGCGGGCAATTTGAGAAAATTGGGGTATTCTGGATTGGGACAGACATTTATCCTTGCAAAAGGACACCTACGGCCCCCATAAACAGTTGTTGCTTAACGTGCTGAGAGAATGTCACTCGATCTACACAATGCCTAACATTTATGAAATGGCACAGTAAAACCAAAATTTCATTTGATATTTGATCAATTGTGTTAATAAGTATACATTTGTTTGAGGGCTGCAATACGTGAGGTTAAAGCACTGATTTTGCTAAAATCTGGGTAAATATACATTGTGACTTGGATGGTGAGTTGTCATATTGGCACTCATACCACATCTTCTTATTTATAATAAATACCACAGATTACTAGTGTCGAGAAAAGGGAGAAGGCAGTAAAGCTTTTCAGGTTTCTAAACGGTGACATAGACTGTATATTTGGATTTCTAACAATACATGATCGAAAATCTGGTACAAAAAATTGTTAGAAACTCATATGGCTGTTTACCACGGTAGGTATAGTGTCCGGCTAGGATCGTAGTTTTTCGAGTGAATTTGGCCATTTTTTTCGAGTGTAGATCGGGCTTTTTCGAGTGATAAAACATGCGATAAGATCAGTTAACTGCTAAATCGTAATCATAATAGTCTTTTAAATGACTACCCATCTTATTTTGAACACTATACATGTTTTGAGGAACAAAGAAGCACAATTTCCTTGTATTTAACCAAACAATTCAATGTTTGTTATTGTCCGGGCTTTTTCGAGAGCAACTGTAAAACTGTCCGGGTTTTTCGACAAATGGTCCGGGTTTTTTAAAGAAAATTTTAATAAGAAAAAAGGTATTCTTGACTTTAAAAAATGACCTTTTCTAGTTTATAACTGTAATTAAGTGAAGGACAATATCATGTATTCCAAACGAATCACCAAAACATATTAATGCAAATTTTCTGATCGGAAAACGTTTTACATCAACTTTCTAGTGTTGAATAAGAAATTACTGGATCCTTTATAAACCGGTCTTAAGAACAAAGTGCAGGGGACTTTTAATCTTAAACTTCATTTCATGCTACTTTTGTTTTTACAGTTAATAATAATTAAAAAAAAGGAGTAAGAAACCTATTGGACAGCAGTAAAAAATCAGAAAAATGCTATGTAATAAAAAAATATTCTACTAAATAAGACCTGCCCCCGACCCACAAAAACAAATCCATCAATTGAAAAAGACACACACACATCCGCCCCATTTTATTCCCATTGACAATAACATTTGAGTTATTTCATATATAGCTAACAATGAAATGAATCGTTCATCAGCTTAACACACTACATGTATGTACGTCTCAACCCAAATTGTCTATGCTAACATTAGATTGTTGGCATCACGAATAAATACTGTACATGTAATGCATAAGATGTGACAAAAACAATATAAACAATGTGAACCATACTTGTTTATAAAATGTAAGTGTTATAAAAAAGAAGATGTGGTATGATTGCCAATATAAGACAACTCTCCACAAATGACACAGAAATTAACAACTATATGTCACCGTACGGCCTTCAACAATGAGCAAAGCCCATACCGCATAGTCAGCTATAAAAGGCCCCGAAATGACAAATGTAAAAAAAATTCAAACGAGAAAACTAACGGCCTAATTTATGTACAATGAAATGAACGAAAAACAAATATGTAACACATCAACAAACGACAACCACTGAATTACAGGCTCCTTACATGGAACAGGCACATACATACAGAATGTGGCGGGGTTAAACATGTTAGCGGGATCCAAACCCTCCCCCTAACCTGGTACAGTGGTGTAACAGTACAACATAAGAACGAACTATAAAAATCAGTTGAAAAAGGCTTAACTCATCGGATGGATACAAATAGAAATACATCTAACATATAAACACATAGTGGACGTGGCCGGGTACTTGTATATCCTAACAACAAAAAGACATTAAGTACAGATCTGAGAAAACTCGCAGTTACTGACAGCTAGTTCAAAGCCAGCTAGTACACCATTATCAAACGGATGAATGCATTGGTTTCGTGCCTTGAAAAGTACTTATTTTTAACCTTTTTTTATTTCTTTTAAATGTAAATACACTGACACATAACATTTTAAGCTATGGGAAATTTATATAATCACTCGATAAACCGCGGAAGCTCTCGAAAAACCCGGACTGCTCTCGAAAAAACCCGAACAAATAAAAAATGAATTTAGTCTCAAAATGTAATTTCAAATGCAATAACAAGAATTTTAGTAAAGTGTCTGTATATCTAAGGATATATAGATTCCGTGTATGCATTTCCTTCGACATTTGCATTCATTTGGTATGTGTATAAAAATGGCTTTATTCTGTATTTTGGAATAAAAGCATTGTAAGGCTTAATTTAACTTTTTTAACAAAAAAATTATGTCGGATTGATAATATCTTTTTATCTTAAATACTAACATGCCTTGTATAACCTTGTATATTAAACTCAAGCTCCTATATCAAGTCTTGTCAAAAAAGAAGTCTGTTTGTTTACATTTTTGATCATATTCACTCGAAAAAAAGTGGTCATACTCGAAAAAAACCGATTAAATAACTCGAAAAACCACGATCCTAGCCGGACACTATACCTACTGTGTTTACGTTCAGTTTTAATTTCCAGAGATCAGAAATACAATTAAAGATGGAGCTTTCGTATTCACACCGGGTATTCCGCGATCCAAAATCCGCGGAGGGATCCGAATCCCGAGGATAAATTACACGAAAACTACAAACGGTGGGTAAATAAAATATATATCCGGTCCCGCGGAGGATTATGCTCCGTGGGAATCGGATCCTATGTCTTTTTTTTTTTTTTTTTTTTTTTTTTTGTTAAATTGGTCCTCGGGAGTTGAATCCCTCCGTGAATTACGGATCGGGATACTTGGTGTGGTATTGATTTATGATAAAATCATACTTATGAAACGCCTGGAGGATACAGTTTTTACTTTCTAAAAATTGTTAACTTGTTGCTTGGTTTTGTCCATCGGAAAAATTGCGTGTAGCTTCATTTTGTAGTCATTTGGAAAATAATGGGCTCATATAATTCAGAAAAATAAAATTATTACTGATTTAGGCATTTATTTGACGTTATACGAAAAGATACATCACAAATCAGAACTAAAGAATGTAAACATTTGTTTGACTTTAATCAATAAAATTAGGGGATAATTAAGACCCCCCCCCCCCCTTAGAAAAGGAAGTTGGAACAAACAAACAAATTACAACCCCCTCCCCAATAAAAACAAAACAACTAAATCATACAGGAAGAAAAAAATCGTACAAAAAAAAACAAAACAAGAGACATGAAAAAAACACGAAACATATAAAAAAAAAGTTAATCCCAAGACAATGATAAATCGAATAATAACAAAAGACGAATTGACAAAAGTTAACGAAAAAAAATCAAGTTAAAAAATCCTTCTATTCAAGTGCAATCTGATCAAAATTCAGATCTATCGCAAATCGCGTACTTTGATGAGCTCTGTATTTTTATTAGATTGATTTAAGTGTAGATTTAAATCTTACCTGTAAATATATCCGTGCGAAGCATGCATCCTAAGGTAGTGTGTTACTATTTAATAAAAATATCTCGCTGACTTCCAGGACAACGGATTTGGACAACATACAGGTAAGATGTTCTAAATGATAAGGTCTGCAATGATAGGTATACTTTGAAAATGCAGTTTTAACCAAAAAGGATATAAGAATGATATCAAGCTTGCAAATATGGTACATATTTGTAGGAATGTATATGCCTCAAATTTCCTACGCTAAGGTAAATAAATATTACTGGCACTTTTGCATGGTGATGAATCATGACATTATTTCAGGTCCTGCCATATACCCAAGGTAAAAAAAAATTAAATGAAAATTAAAAAAGTCCTACCTACCTATCCGTTTTTAAGGGAAAAACCTAAACGCGATTTTGTTCGGTCTAAATTGAACTGTTCATCAGATCCGGGGCATCAAGTTGCACTACGTTCAAAATCTCCATTTTATAAAGTATTCCATATCAAAACCGGTTTCAATGGATAGAAAATGATCATTGTATGTGATTTTAGCAAATACTAGAAAGAGTATTCTGAAAATAATTTGGAAACAATTTCTCCTGTATAAAATCTCTTTTTACTGTCCCAGCACCCCCCTTTTAGTGCGATCCACATATTTTCATCAAAAAATATTTCGCTTCCTTATTTCCTTATTGCGCGTGCTCTTACGTGACTAAGAGGCCTCGGTGGCCGAGTGGTTTGAATTGTCCATCCCTTACCGGTCAACACTGAGGTTAGTTTGAACCCCCACTCGTGACAGGTGCGTTCGACTCCTATCTTAAGGTTCATCATAACAAATGGACAAGTATTTTCACCTCAAAAAGTACTCTGTGTACAGACTTACCTGAGCAGTTTGGAATACAATACAGCCCTCGCACGGTCGGTTTTATTAAGGTGGCTGTGGTGTCTTCCTCCATCTTGGATTTTTAAATAGCAGATAACAATCGGTCTAGATCTTTATTGAAATGTGCAAATTTAGAGAGCAGTATGTAATTTATGTGCAAGACTTTTTTAATGTTAATATAGAAAATTATGTGTTTTATCATATTTACGGCTGTAATTTTACAAAAACCAGAACATTTTTGTTTGATTAATTTTTTTTTCAACTTTGCCACATAAAGGGAGATAACTCAGATATAAGGGGAGATAACTCAGATAAGTAAATTTTATAATAGAATGTGTTGTGAATTTACATATTTTATCATGTAGCAGGAAAACGAGTCTGGTGACCCAATTATTTCTTTTTTCTTATCTGAAAGCATATTATTAGAGCTATCTTGTCATATTTTATCTGAAAATTATATGGTGTAGTTTTCTTTTTATCACACAACATTGTGTTTCCCATGCATAATCTACTAGAAATGTGCTGACCGATGTCCTATGTGGGACTGCTAATGAATCTTCAGTGATAAATTCTGTTACAAATTCATAAATATACTTTCAACTTCAATTTCAATAAAAATTGCTTCACATCCTATGAAATTGGGCAGCATTATAGAAAAGAAAATCTCAGCTACTTTTTCTTTGAAATTTTTAATTATCTAAAAGATATTCTCCTGGGAAAAGGGGGGAGGGGTAGGTATATATAAAAAAAAAACCAACGAAGGTGCATTTCGTATATCCAAAATTCCTTTTGTACAATTATAGCTATCTAATTTCTTTTAGGTAGAAATTGCGCTGAAATACGTTTTTAATATGCTATCTTTACTTAATATGCGCATTAGTTCATTTTGTAAAATGTGGGTTAAATTATTTAAATTACATTTCAAAAACATTCATTTATCTACATTTCAGGAAGAAGTTCGAGAAATGGCGAAATTTAGCTATGACGTTGTTGTGTTGCTGGTAGTACTAGCAGGTAACTTTTTAAAGCTGTCTTCTTTAAAGTTCGTATGCATACAATGTAGAACATTACGACGAGACAATAAAAAAGCAAATTCGAATACAATAACTGGGTTAAGGATGTCCTTTTTGTTACTAGGGATGATAATAGTTTGTTCTTATGTGCTGTAACACCACTGTCCCAGGTTAGAGAGAGGAGGGGGTTGAGTGCTAACAAACATGTATAACCCCGCTACATTCTTATGTGCCTGTCCCAAGTCAGGAGCCTATAGTTCTGTGGTTGTCGTTGGTTTATGTTTTTGTTAATTTTTTGTTATAGATTAGGCCGTTAGTTTTCTCAATTAAATTGCTTCATATTTTTCATGTCAGGGTCTTTTATAGTCGACTATACGGTATGGGTTTTTCTCATTGTTAAAGGCCGTACGGTTGCCTCAAGCTACGTTCGGTAAAGTGTAATTGGATCCAAGGGATTTGAATGGGAGTCTAAAGGTGTCTGGTGTATGCTTTAATTCAGGAAACTATGGTAATAGAATTATCCCGACATCTTCAAAGTGCTAATACATACACGATATTTCTTGATATATACGGCATTATAGGCCAAAATCTTTTACATAAATCATCTAGTGAAATTTTCTGGTCTTTAACGTTGTTGAACCAAATATGTCAGAACTATGTCTTAGGCTTGCAGAAAAATATTTAGGGAAGGTAGGGTAGTATGACACCTAACGATATTTGTTTTAGCCTTGTGGTTAAAAGTTTTCAAAAATTCATGAGCCGAGGAAGGGCGGTCATACTGGAATTTCATCTTACATGAAAAGGAAACTAGTAACAGAAATTGTCCTAAAAAACAGCATACCTACCTACTGTCTTATTTCGACCAATTGCCAGTCGACTCCTTACGTAATGAGAAATTTTACCCATTTTTGTGTTACTGCAGAACCTATAGTAGAAAAGCAGAAAATGTAAAGAGCAAAAAAATAATTGGATAAGTCAACTCGACATTGGCTAGTGTTATAAAGGGAGTGTTGAGAGATTTCGCCAAACAGTTTAATACTGCCACATGTTTGCGCCTGTCCAAAACCTTTGTTAGTCCTGTTTGTTTTGTTTTTTTTTAATTTTGATTCATTTATATGCTTCCGAATCGGAGTTTCAGTGTGGCGTCCATTTCGCCGAACTTGTATGTGTTTTTGTTTAGGGGCAGCCTCCATGTGCGGGATTTTCTCGCTGTGTTGGAAACCTATTGGTGGTCTTGGGCTGTTTTCTTCTCTTTGATCGGGTTGTCATCTCATTGACACATTCACCGCTTCATACTCAATTATATGGCTGTATAATTTTCAGGGAACTCTTCATATTAAGATGATGATTATCTTTTTTTGAGTTTTAGCAGAAAATAAACCTACCAAGAAAATGTAATCTACTGATCATGATAAGCTTGCATTAACAAAGTAGTCAGTCGGCTCCTTTAAGGAGTCATATGCTTAAATTTATGGTTTTGAACACTAGAATAGGTAGACCGAAGCTTCGAACAGCAAAAAATATTAGCAATTATGCAAGATCTACAGACAAATTTTATATATTACATGAAGTCATCCATTTACATTTATAGATAGAATGATAATGAATAGACAGAAACTAAGTCCAGCAAAATGATAAACATGACAAGATTTTTTTTAATGACGTAACAATGAACGCTACTAAGTCCTTGATCCAATCTACCTCACCGGGCTACATAGATTGAAAAATGGTTTATTCTGAAATAGCAGTTTTAAAGGGTTTAAGGGTATAAGTCGGTTCAATGTAATGTTAGTAAATGAATATTCAGTTTGACAATATCTCGAAATGAGGCTATTTTAAAATTTTGCACTTAATTAAAGAAGTTGGAAATTATCCTTAAAGGGCACTAGCTGTCAAAATCATATTCACCGATTTGACTCAAATTCTCATATTTGATTTATAACATACTAAAACACATATCCAAATTATAACATGTCTTAAATAAACAGTTAATAATGCATATACTAGATAATATATATCAGCATTTTGTGTGTATTTTAGTCTACACGCCATATAATTAACTATCGAGATGACCCCGAAAACTACCGACGGTCACATATCAAGTTTTTAACATAAACATAGATATAAATAGATATGGTCCTCGTGCAAATAGATTTTTCTTTGTTTGTTTGATGTCGTGCTTTAGGTAAAAAAATAAGTTAATTTTCGATTTTACCTGCATAAGAATGATTGTTTTGTGGATCGAACCAGTCAATCAAATGATTTACCTTTGTTTCACTTTCCATGTTGACATTCTTTTCTATTAATAACCAAACACGCATAAATCATGTGTAATCCATCTCTAGCTAAGGGTTAAATTGAAGTTCACATGAATACGGATTCAATGAAGTCGAATTATTCACTTGCAAGTGAATAATTCATCATCAATGTTTCTTAGCTTATTTTGACAAAATTGAACTGTACTGGCTGCTAAAAGCGAATTATTATTTCACTATTTCACTTTCATTAACTATTGAACAAAAACAATTGTAATTTAAATTTTTTATGTATCTCGTAGCTAGTACCCCTTTAATGCAGATATGTTGACAGAGTTGAAAAATATAATTACCAATTTCTGCCAGAGTAATTTCATATTATCTGAAGGAGGTTTTTCGGACGATATCACTTTCGAGTTCAATGGGCCAAAAAGATGACTTGCCATATCTTTTCCTTTGTCAAATGTGTAATGCCATCCTTGCATATTACATGTAATAATGCTAGCATATGAGAATTTGCTACAGACCCATTTTTACAGAATAAGGTTGATCACCAATAGCTAGCATTAAATATCTGATGGATTGTTTTTTTCTTTGTAATAAATCTGAAAAAGTCTTCTTCAGCCAGTTTCAATCGGCAATCCTAAGGTGAATCAGGTAGCCTTTTCATCTAAATTTGGGTTTTTAATGTAAAATTAGAATAACAGGTAAAAACGCTTTTGTAAGACCTCGAAATTGAAAGTATTATCCTTTTTTTATTTAACTATTGTTAATCAATAAAAAATCACAAAAACAAAAATTGTGCTTCGGTACTGGCTGTTATCAAAGGGAGACAATTCAATCTCAATCTCAATGTGTTTTAATCACAGGAGAGATAAATCTTGTTACATGAGGAGGTATCTCATCAACTATAGTCTTATTTTTTTTTAACATCATCTAGGTATTTAGTTTGCTTACCCATGTTTTATAATTAGTTCCTCACTTTGGGACCGCAAAGTAAACTTTAATATTAACCCTTAATATGTATTTGCTATGTAATCTTTGTGGATTTAAAAAAAAGATTCATTATAGGGTAATAAGGGCGCCATCAAATAAATAGATAAGAATGACAATTTAAGACATTGAAATATTCAAAATTCAATTGAGTGTATGAAAGTCTGATTCTTTTTCAATTTATTCTATAGGAAATAAAAGTGACTATGAATTTATTGCAAGAATATTTATTGAAAGAGTACATTTTTATTATTTTGACAACACATTTGGGAAGAGATATTCTGTATTTTTCTTGTATGCGTTGAGGCCATTTATATAGTTGACAGTAAAAAATACGCATGGGAGTTAAAAACGAGATGTGTTAAAAAAATGGCCATTATTACAGCCGATTGCAATGAGTGTGTAGGAACAGGTAACATCTTTGGTTAGCTTGCTTGCTAGCTGAACCGTGAAGTCATTATTAGGTTAGGTAAACTACCCTCTTTTAAGAGTTAGACTAGTCCGACAGATAACCAATCTATCTGTCTGTAGGACTAGACTACTTCGAAAGGAGGGTAGTATACCTTACATAATAATGACTTCACGGTTCAGCTAGCAAGCAAGCTAACCAAAGATATTACCTTTACCTACACACTCATTGCAATCGGCTGTAAAGCAAAAGTCCTGACTCGTAATTTTTGCATATAGGAAACAAATCGGGTAGTATAATATATTTTGTGGCCAAATGATGGGTTGTTAATGGGTGCGAGTCATTGTGACACTGATAAGGGGGTGGAAAGAATTATGGGAACTATGGAATAAGAAGGCTGGAAATGGGATTTCGATAGATGAAAGCTGGAGTCAGGGTGGTGTTAACCGTAAGGAAAGGGTTGTTAAAACAGGGATAGTTCATGTTGACGAAAAAATAGGAGTGCAGAGGAACAGAATACGAAGTGAAGTAGGAGTTTGGGGAGGGAACGGGGAATCAATGCTCCCTGTCCACCCCCTTACTGATAGCCATAAAAGAAAAGGGGTTGGGGGTCATGTACATTGTATGTAGAAGGAGCAATTCTGCAGGGGATGGGGACCACAGCTTGTTCTAGTTTGTGAACTGATAAATAAGAAGACGATTGATGCCTAATGTAATAGCGCTATCTAAATAAAAGAAAAGAAAAAAGAAAACTAAAAAAAAAACAATGCAAACAATATATAATTTATTCAATAAGTACAATTTGTATCATGTAGACCAAAAGTAGAGAAAAGGAGCATTGCATGACTGCAATAATTATCCGTTTTAAGAACGCATCTGGCAGATGCACTAACCTCATGGGGAGGACTGCCATGCTTGCCATGTTGGACTGAACGTCAGTCCTCAAACCATTCATCGATGATGATGGAAGTTTAAATCCACATTGACTGGCTATATAGCCTTCGCCTAGTCAGCCCTACATAGCGCCTTATTAGTATTTAAAAAGAATTTAATTCCAAACAATAAAAATGATTAAGTCTTTCAACGAAGGATATAAATGATTAGCAAGGATGCAAATACTAAACTTTAGAACCTAAATAATTTAAAATATCTTTTACAAATGAATTCAAAATAGCAATATCTAATCAATTTAACAAATATGTACTGAATAAGTGTCATGTAAATCGTTAAATATAGAAACACGCAATTTCTATTTTTAAACAAGGGAAATAACAATTACATGATAATCCTATCTGCCAAATGTATTTAGAAACAATTTGCTTTTATAAACAATTACTAATTAGAAAAACACACACACACACACACCCACCCACTGAAGATAACATGTGTTTTAGTTGCAACATATTTATTGTTAATAAACAACTGCCAACCTGTACTAAAAACAAACACTGGTTTGGAACAAACTATACACTACGAACGACAACTCGACCTAGTATGTTACTCTTATTTGTTGATAATATAAACAAAAGTTGATTTAAATAAAGCGGTAATATGTAGCAATTAATAAAAATCAGAATGCCGTTGTAAAAATCATCAGGAAATTGATATGCTTTGCCGCCCGGAGATGCCGATAAGTGAACTTGTACAAAATCATGTTTTCAGGGGAAGTGATGAATTGTCCTTGCCAAAATAACAATTAATTCAGGTATCTAACATTGCTTACATATATTGATACCACGATAATACATTGATAATACTGTCTTGTTAAATATACCTTATTGTCAAAGAATGCAACAATAGTGTCCTCATCGACGGCCAAAGAAAAAACCGTGATGATAAAGCATGCAATTCCGGAAATTGACCGTCTCCGAAAATATTAAATTCTAAAATTGAGTTATCGTCCTTTTCGCGCCAGACGACTATTGAAAAGGCTAAATCAGGTCGAGTTAAGACGAGTGTAGCAACTTCAAGACTATAGTCAAATAATGGTTCGTCATAAACACTCGATTATTTGTGTCTGAGCTAACTAGGTTAAGAATTTGTAAACTTTTCTTAACATAACCTTTTTTATGATTGGAGGGTATACCACCCTCACTTATTATGGATAAAAGTATTTGATGCTTTTCAACATAACGTTTTTCAGCTCAACTTTTTCAAATTATGTTGACCTCTATGTTTTATGTTTCCAAATTCGAATTGTGCATGCAACAATCTTTTTTTCGGAGATTAAGTGCTGACTCAGTTCTAAAGTTGTTTTTAAAGAATCGGTATTTCCTGAAAACTTTAAGCCTAAATTAATACCTGTATTTCCGGAAACCTGCTGACAAATTAGGGCACGCACATATCGGTAGGTAATTAATTTCATTTTGAAAAAAAATATTGCCGTACTACTTTCACAACAGAAACAGTCTGTTTTTAAAAGTTCTTGTTCAAAAATAAAAATAATAATCTTAAGGGTATGGAATATAAGGTTAACTGAAACACACAGGTTATTTGTTTTACGCCTTATACAATTTTTAACGACTTTGTATGTTTTTTCCTGTAGGGTTGATATCCCACTCTGCAGGTATGGATCCAGCCACTATTGTCGCAATTGCTAAAGTCGCCGGAATTGTTATTTCATCTGGAGCAAGTATGATGTCAAAACCTAAGGACTATAGTGTTGTCTGTTCCATCGAGGTGGAAAACTGGACAAGGTTCATTCTCGAAGATCCACATTCTTCTATAGCTAAGGGGCAACTGCAGTCTTCGCCAGTAGTGATTAGACCAGCTTCTAGAGAAAAGATTGTGAGTATTTTGTTTTTAGAAAATGTCAATAACTATTGTATAAATTTAAACAATATACATGTATGAAGTTGACACGTTTTTAGGGTACGTTTCCCCTAAATGTACACAAAGAGACGGCTATGCCATTATTTATTTTACACGAAATGCACTCCGATAATTTCAACTCAGAAGAATCAATTCTGGTCGTAATATTTGCAGCTAACATTTGTAAAAAAAAAAGTGTAGAAAACGCAATTCATAGTTTGCACGTTTTACAATTGAAAACCTCTCTTAATTGCGTATACGCGCTACTTATTCCTAATGACTTAACAAAAATCGGTAATTTTTAACGGGGTTCACACATAAGAGATCATAAAATGGTGTTCCAATCATGAAAATAACCGCTTCCGCCTAAGAAAAATTCGTAGAGGAACACGCCTCGTTGATTGAACTCAAAAGGCTGATATCCTGTTGAAATTAAACAAAAGGAGAGAACTTTTTATCAGAGAAGGTATAAAAGTTGAAGTTGGTATATTTGAATTGTTTACATGGCTTTAAAGGTTTAATGTAGATTAAACGTACTAAAAACATCCAGAGAGAGAAGATCAAAAATCCTAAAAATGGGCATGGGTTTGTTATGCATCTTCTATACGTGTGAATATCTAAATCGTAGTACGGAGCTTCAAGATATTTGAAAACTTTTTAAAAGTAAAGACATATGTCCACAAAACATTCGATTATGTAAGTTAGGTGCAAAAACATGTGGGATCTTTTTTGTGCATAAGCATAAATTCCGCCATAAACAAGTCCATAGAAAATTAAGATTGAACTTTATAAAGCATTAATTTTTTTATCTCTGCTCACCGGTAACAGTTTTTTTTTTCTTTTTTTTTTTGGGGGGGGGGGGGGGGGGGGTCATAAAAATGGGCGATATCCTCATCGAAAAGAACAAGTTGGGTTCCCCTTTTAATACTCAAGCGTATTCACAGTTCCAAGAAATAAAGAGTATTGATCAAGTGAAATACCTTTTTAATGAGTCATCATAACAACAGAGTGGGTGTGTTTGAATAGTTTAAAAACAATATTTAACTATTTCGGGAATGCTTAAAAAATCTTTAAAGGTTTTAAAGCTTTTTTTTATTATTATTGATAACAATGCGTCCGTTGACCGTATATCCCGTATGACACTTTACAAATGAAAAACTTATCAAATACAAATTTGCATAAGTACATTGTATTTTGATTAATTTAGTTGTAAACATAAGGCGATGCTTTAAGTTGTTTGTATGATGCTTTCAGATTATTTTGGAAACCAGGTATACCGTCAAGTAATTTAGTATACACCTTATCGCTGTTTAGTTCAATCCGGAAAAAAAAACCAGTCACTTATACAACTTCCTGTTTGGGTCAAGTCTTGCAAAAACAAAGGTCATCAGTAACGAGCTAAGGAAGGGTAAAGTTTAGAAAGCAAACATTTTGAAACTTGATAGGTTATGATCCACTTTTTAAAAACCCAAATCAAAGTAATATAAATGCTTTTTTTGAAGTGTTTACGCTGGTTTAAACATTTCTCTTTGAAAAGTTTAATGCCTAATACATTGTTTAAACAGGGCCCCAGATAGCTTCAACTGGATATAAAAGATGTGTAATTTTAGAACTTATCAGGATTTGAATAAATAGCGATAAGATGTATTCCAATTGGACTAAATGTGTCCCGGTTATAAGTTTCGTATTTTACTGATACAGATACGTAGGTTGTCTAAGGTTCTTATTTTACTGATACAGATACGTAAGTTGTCTTATTTTATTCTCTATCGTCCTCCCCTTCGCCTACCGCTCTGCTTAGTGGTTCCGTAATTTTTGTATCACGACTTTGCGACGGGAGCAGAACTTATCAGTCACTTCACCATGTGTGAGAAAACATCATCAAGCTTATTTTCGTCAAGAGTAGCACTGTCTTAAGGGTGGAAGGTGGGAAACTTGAAAAAGCACTATTTTCAGCGTATAAAAAGGATAGATAAACAAAGGCACTTGTCTCTGAAATAAATTACCTACATACTTTAATGTAACACAAGGTACCTAACTCGTATATTTGAGATTTTCACCCGGTCGCGAATTTCCGTTATATTTCGATTCTGTGGTTGTCTAGCACAAGGATAAACTATACGTTTTCGTGTAAAAGACACTGTTGATATATTACATTAAATATGTCGTTCAGTTGATGCATTTTATGATTCAGTGGATAGTTACATTTCCTGAACCCTACTTTCATTTTTCGGAAGTGTTGATTTTTTTTTCGCGTAGGGAAACTGTCAATATGTGATATAATAGAGGACCTCGGGTCCTATTCGAGCAACAGAATTATCCTTGTGCGGTTCTCTATTCCAATGAAACTTGTTATGTCGTAAATCTACTTTAAAATAACTACAAAATTAACATTTCCATTCGGCTGTGAGAAGACGAAATAATTACGGTTGGTATACTTAGAAGGCCTGTTACGAATGATTTAGATAATAGAAATAGGCGTGTTATACCCCATTTTGTTGATAATCTAATGTAGATTTACGACATAACAAGTTTATAATATAACGGAAGTTCGCGACCGGATGACATTTCTCAAATATGAGTTGGGTACCTTGTCTTACATTAAAGTATATATGTAATTTTTTTCAGAGATAGGTGCCTGTGTAGATGTAGTCTTGTTTCTGGGCAATAAACACACAAGAAACGATCTAAAGGGTTACGGATTCTTTATTTCGTAGTTTATACTATAATCCAAAATAAATACCCTGTAATAACAATACATTATATTAATGGATGTAATATAATTAAGTAACTATATAAAAGCTTTAAAACATTATGTTAACAATTATGAACAAGGAAACTGTTTACTTTACCAAGCATTTCAATAATAAAAGAAAACTATATAATTTCATTAAGTCGGAAATAGTGATCTCCAACTATATTGTCTCATAAACACATCTAAAATACCAAATCTAATCATAATGCATATGTCGGTGCATTAGTAACACATTATAACAGTAATGAAGGGAACTTTTAAATACCAAATTTAAATAAGCATATTTAAAAATAACATATACATGCAAAGCAAGAACATGCGTGCAAACAAAGCATAAAACACTTTCTAAAGCAGACAATACAATAAGCATAACGCACATGATTCAACATAACATAACCTACCTCACAGGTATTTGTGAAGGCTTGAAATATAATATTCAAATCACATCAGGTTGATGCCAAAATGGTGCATCATCAATATGGTAGATACCTGCAGTACAAATATTAAATTCATAACTAACCTATTCTGCATATCAAAATGAGATAGTTAATATCTTTATCAATTTATGACTTTATTTAATATCTGAAATTATTATAAAACATTCATTCTATAAGATTCAATAGTTTAATCCAATTTACTGAAATTTAGCTGTATTTAACCATAAAAGCACAATTATTAAAGAAATTTAAAGTTCTTTTAAGTTTTCTATTATTGCACTTACATATCACACCTACACATCATTCAAACATGCATTTATTCATAACATGCATAAATCATACATACATATAATTATAAGTATAGATAATTATTATATTAGTATAAGAAGAATAACTGACCTTAGAAATATGAAAACCAAACTCCAAACAGAATATAATCAGAATTTACTGAACACAGAAAATGGTGTCCATCACGCAAAGTGACCATATAGAAATGTAAAACTTCCCGCCAAAGAATTGACAACTAATCAATACAAATAAAACCCAATTGAAACACCTGATAAAAGTCACACCTGAGCAAATCTGAAATTTACACTCCGTATAATTTAACCATGCAATAATATAATACTACAGTATTAATTATAATATCTTCTGAAATAATAAAGTTAGATTAAAAATATAGAAATAATCAAACTTAAATATAAAATACAAATATCCTAAAATACCACTTTACCACACACTCCCCCCAGCTGTAAAATGACGTCCCGTCATTTCCAGCTAGAGGTGGTTGACAATGTCTAATATGGTCCTTGCGTCATCTCTCTCTAATCCAGTAGCTTTAAATAATGGTGTCTGGGCCAAAGACGAGATGTAATCAGCTTTATGTCGCCATTCTGGAATACTAGTTGATCTAGCAACAGCCATACTTGTCTCAAACTGTCCGGATCGAAACCAAGCAGGTGGTCTTCGTTCCCTTCCCGAACGTCCGAGTTCTACCGGTGGTAATCCGTCTGTATCCTGAGGTACATCATCATCAATCGTAGTATCTTCTGATGAAATACTCTCAGCATCCTCGGAAGCGCTTACATTAGGTTCAGTCTCTTCAATCTGGGCGTCCCCAGAAAGACTGGTATCCTCATCAATGATATCTATGTTGGCATTGGAGTCTTCAGCAAGAGATGATTCGCTGTCCACTGTCAACAAAAATCCAACCTCGGATTCCTCTGAAATAGTTGATGCTGTGTCATCAGCTGAATCCTCCTTGGTTGCCTGAACCACTGGTATTTTCTGTTGCTTACTAGCAAGTGGGCGTCGAGTTGGTCTCTGTTTGGTAGTTTGTAACTCTACTGGTTCCTGGTCTCTGATGTAGCCAACTGGAAGAAGTAGATTTCTATGGAGTTTCTTTATTTTTCCCTCTCCATCTTCACGGATGAGGTAAATACAGGAATGTCTTGATTTGGCTGATCCAATACAACGTATGGTACATCTTCCCATTTATCAGCCAACTTGTGTCTGCCATCGAAGTATACGATCTTCACCAACACACGGTCACCCTTCTGGCATCTTAGTGTCTTTGTGAAGTCCAAAAGCTAAATCAATTGGTAGACGTGGCTGTCGTCCAAACATGAGGAAATACGGTGCAACTCCTGTTGACTCGTGACGAGTGCAGTTGTAGGCGTGTACCATGGGTGCAACGTAAGCTTTCCAGTTAGACTTCTGCTGTCGGTTTAATGTACCAAGCATCCCCATCAATGTGCAATTAAACCTCTCTGGCATACCATTTCCCATAGGATGGGACGGCGTTGTTCTGGATTTCTTCATCCCAGTCAAGGTACATAAACTTTGATCACTTTGCTTTCAAAATTCGCTCCTCTGTCAGAGTGGATACGTAGCGGAATTCCATAGTGAACGATGTAGTTGTCAAAGAGTGCTTGGGCAGTAGTTCTAGCTGTTTGATTCCGCGTTGGTATAGCCTGGGCGTATCTAGTAAAGTGGTCCATGATAATAAGTACATCTTCGTATCCTCCTTTAGAACGCTCAAGTTTCAGGAAATCAATGCAAACTAGCTCTAGTGGAAATCTGGTAGTAATGCTGACCAAGGGTGCAACTTGACTGTTAGCTGGTGTTTTCCCTTTCAAACATCTACTGCACTGCCCTATCCAATCATCAACTGCCTTGTCCGTTCCTGGCCAGTAGAATCTGTCACGCAGTAGTGATAGTGTTCTATCCTTGCCTGGATGGCCCATATCATCATGCAGTGCCTCAAGGACGATCTTTATATGAGCAGATGGTAATACCAGCTGTGATTTCCTGTCATCATTAATCATCAAGTCTCTGTATAAAACGCCATCTTTGAGAATAAGGTGTTGAATGTCGCAAGAGTAGTGATGATCCGACATCTGCTGTTGTAGGTTTCCTTCCTTCTCTAACATATCTCACAAACGGCGCTATCTATGAATCCATGGCTTGTGCCTGTTTCCAATTGATGATATCTTCAACTTTGTATTCATCTTCATCATCATCAGATTGCACTACATCTGGGTTAACAGCTAAACTCTCGATGAATGTGTTCGGAAGCTGTGAGTTGCAGATAGCCTGTACGGACTCTATCGATATGATTTCTCCACTATCGGATTCTGTACTTTGTGCATCTGGAATTCGGCTGAGTCCATCTGCGTCTCCATTTTTCTTTCCAGGTCGGTACAAGATATTGAAGTTGAAGTCTGCAAGGCTATTCAACCATCTGTGACCGGTGGCATCGAGTTTAACTGTTGTCAAAACATATGTCATGGGGTTGTTGTCTGTCATGACTGTAAAGTTGCTGCCTAAGAGGTAATCTCTGAACTTCTCACAAACAGCCCACTTCAAAGCGAGGAATTCCAACTTGTGTGGTGGATATCTCTTCTCAGATTTAGATAAGCTTCTGCTGGCGTAGCTGACAACCCTCAGATGCTCTCCCTGCTTCTGGTACAATACAGCTCCAAGTGCAAATCCTGATGTATCTGTATGTAGCTCGTATGGAAGATTGCTAATGGCATATCCAAGTATAGGTGCTGACACAAGCCGTTCCTTCAGTGTTTCAAACGCCTTTTCTTGGTCTGGACCCCAGTGCCATGGTTTCTGCTCGTGCTTCTTTACTTTCTTCTTCATTGGATTCGGCATCAATTCTGTAAGTGGCTTACTGATCTTGCTGAAGTGTCGAATGAAGCGACGATAATATCCGACGAATCCAAGAAATCGTCTTACATCTTTAGGACTGGTGGGCTTTGGCCAATTCACAACCTTATCTGTCTTGTCTGGGTCAACCTCCACATCTTCCGCTGAAACAACATGGCCGTCGTACTTCACTTTGGTCTTGAAGAATGAGCACTTGTCTGGTGCAAGCTTCATGTTGTGTTTTCGGATCCTGTCAAATACTAGGCGGAGATTGTCCAAATGTTGGCCCACGTTGGGCGCCAAACATGTAGTCTTGTTTCTGGGCAATAAACACTCAAGAAACGATCTAAAGGGATATTCTTTATTTCGTAGTTTATACTATAATCCAAAATAAATACCCTGTAATAACAATACGTTATATTAATGGATGTAATATAATTAAGTAACTATATAAAAGCTTTAAAACATTATGTTAACAATTATGAACAAGGAAACTGTTTACTTTTCCAAGCATTTCAATAATAAAAGAAAACTATATAATTTCATTAAGTCGGAAATAGTGATCTCCAATTATATTGTCTCATAAGCACATCTAAATACCAAATCTAATCATAATGCATATGTCGGTGCATTAGTAACACATTATAACAGTAATGAAGGGAACTTTTAAATACCAAATTTAAATAAGCATATTTAAAAATAACATATACATGCAAAGCAAGAACATGCGTGCAAACAAAGCATAAAACACTTTCTAAAGCAGACAATACAATAAGCATAACGCACATGATTCAACATAACATAACCTACCTCACAGGTATTTGTGAAGGCTTGAAATATAATATTCAAATCACATCAGGTTGATGCCAAAATGGTGCATCATCAATATGGTAGATACCTTGCAGTACAAATATTAAATTCATAACTAACCTATTCTGCATATCAAAATGAGATAGTTAATATCTTTATCAATTTATGACTTTATTTAATATCTGAAATTATTATAAAACATTCATTCTATAAGATTCAATAGTTTAATCCAATTTACTGAAATTTAGCTGTATTTAACCATAAAAGCACAATTATTAAAGAAATTTAAAGTTCTTTTAAGTTTTCTATTATTGCACTTACATATCACCCCTACACATCATTCAAACATGCATTTATTCATAACATTCATAAATCTTGCATACATATAATTATAAGTATAGATAATTAATATATTAGTATAAGAAGAATAAATTACCGTAGAAATATGAAAACCAAACTCCAAACAGAATATAATCAGAATTTACTGAACACAGAAAATGGTGTCTATCACGCAAAGTGACCATATAGAAATGTAAAACTTCCCGCCAAAGAATTGACAACTAATCAATACAAATAAAACCCAATTGAAACACCTGATAAAAGTCACACCTGAGCGAATCTGAAATTTACACTCCGTATAATTTAACCATGCAATAATATAATACTACAGTATTAATTATAATATCTTCTGAAATAATAAAGTTAGATTAAAAATATAGAAATAATCAAACTTAAATATAAAATACAAATATCCTAAAATACCACTTTACCACATAGATAACAGCCGCTCAACACAATGGAAGCTTTTTTTTTTTCGTTTGCTGCGCAAACTCTCTAAAAAGGTTCGCATTGTGGCTCACGGGAGATATTTTACGTTATTTGTATTCCCACTGTCTCTATCACTCTGCTCGACTTTTCATAAAACTCACTGCGCTCACTCGACAAAAAGCTTCATTTTGTGACTCGTAGCTGATATTTGTTTACATCTTATCTTTTCACGATCATTCATCGTAAATTTGAAATCACTTTAACATATTGTAGATAGCCCTAAAGTCGTCATGGTTGAAAAAACATAAATGTATTGTAGAAAGCCCTAAACTCTGTATTGTAAATATTCCACAACTTGTCATGGTTAAAAGGAACGTAAATGTATTGTAGATATCACACAAGTCGTCATGGTTTACTGGAACATACATTTTAATATATTGTAGATACATGAAGCCAACAAGTCGTCTTGGTTGACAGGAACATACATTTTAATTTATTGTAGATCGCCCACAACACATCATAGTTGATAGGAAAATACATTTTAATGTATAGTAAATAGACCACAAGTCGTCATGGTTTACTGGAATATACATTTTCATATATTGTAGATAGCCCACAAGTCGTCACAATTGACAGGAACATACATTTAATATATAGTAGGTAGCCCACAAGTCGTCATGTTTTACTGGAACATGCATTTTAATATATTGTAGATAGCCCATGAGGCGTCATGGTTTAGGGGCACATACGGAGTAGCCTCATGGTTATTAAATGATCGTCGTGCAGCTGTTATGTGGCATTGTCCTTACAGCTTTTTTTGGGGAAGCAAAAACATGTTAGGAGTTGGTTTGACAGAATCGTGGTATGGCTATCATAAAAATTGGTTCTATCAAATGTACAAAGGAGGAAATGGTCAAGGTTTGAACTTTGTGCGAGACGACTATTACTACGACACACCAACAATTAGAATAGCTGATGAGAGATTTGAAATTACTGGTACAATGGGAACCAGTCACAAGGCAACAGCACGAATTGTCATAAGACCAGTAAACGAACATGACCTTGCGCCGTCAATTGCAGCTGAACTCGACAAACGTGGATTGGCTAAACTACTTAAAAGAGGTTAACATAACCGTGTTTGAAAATTAGGTATAAAATCAAATTGATCATATACTATGTTTGTCTTATTTATACATCGTCAACGTAAGTAGAAGGGCACTCTGTTCGTTCCGTATCAGCTGGCTATGTGGTCGAGTGGTCTAAGTAGTCAAATTACTGTATCACTAGCCTGTCCTGCACGTGGCAGTTGCACTCGACTCCAATCTTAATTGACTAGGATTGTTAGGTTTTTTTACTGAAGGTCGGTGGTTCTTTCCGGGCACTCCGGCTTCCTCCACCAATAAAATCTAAACGCCTCGAAATAGCACAATAGTGTAGGATGTGGCGTTAAACACCAATCAAAAAAACTTCTGTGGTACCAAAATGAATAAAGAAAATGGAATACAAAATGGCTTGTGTTTGAGTTATACGGATAAATTTTGTATGGATATTATAGGACATTAGCTACGATTTAGACAAACATTTAAAATTCGATTCTTTCTGTTGAAGTATTAATAAAAGCGGAAATGTGAAATAATATTTCTTTATAAGCAGTCAGTTTGACCCAAATTTGTCAAAATAAGCTTAAAAACATCACTGATGTATTATTGACTTGTAAGTGAATAATTTAACCTCATTGAATCTGTATTAATGTGACCTTCAATTCAAACCGTTAGCTAAAGAAAGGTTACGCGTGAACTAGGCTTCGTTTTTCAGTTTCATTTCCGAAACGTTGGAAAGATTGTATATCTCACCAGTGTCCTAACTCACAAACAATTTTTTCATTTTCAAAATTTCATCGGATAATGGTTATACTGCATACATTTTTGTGTAGATTTTGATAGAGGTAATTTTGGTTGAAATTTGCCATACAAAGTGCGGACCCGAAGTTTTGGTTAAAAATGTGGAATTAGTGAAACAAGTTAAGATTACAAAATATGCCAGAAATGTTCGAAATGCATGCCATAGAAAGTCTTTGGTTTTTGCTCATTGTTATAAAGGCCATATGGTAACCTTCTACGTCATTTGGTCTCTGGTGAAAACTTGTCTCATTGGCAACCATATCACATCTTATTTTTATACTAATTTGTATAAGATGAAATATACTCGAATATTGAGTTTATATTGGCACTCAGTGTATAATCCTTACAGAATATGTTGATATATACATGAGAAATTTGAACAAGCCGTATAATCCTATTTCTTTTTAAAATACACTATGAACTACATTGTGCGAAGTTTGAAATACCATCTTTATAAAACTAAATATAGATGTGTGTCAAATTTATGATTAAAGAGATTTGGTATGATTGCCAAACTATCCACCAAAGTTAAAATTAAGTAGATCTAAGCATTTACAGGCAACCGTACGGCCTTCAGCAATGAGAAAACCCCATACCGCATGGACGGGTATGAAAGGCCACGGCATCAAGAATGTGAAACAATTCAATTGTGAAAACCAACTGCCTAATTTATAACAAAACAATTTACGAAAAACAAAATTAATATGCTTGACATGAACCAATGACAACCACCGAACAACAGGCTCCTGACTTGGGACATGCACATAAAGAATGTGGCGGGTTAAACATGTTTGTTAGCGCTCAACCCTCCCCTAACCTGGGACAGTGGTGTAAAAGCACAACATAAAAACACACTATATTAATCAGTTTAGAAAGGCTTAACTCGTCAGATCGATACAAAGCATAGAAACATCTAACAAAAACACAGACCGGACGTGCCAGGGAATTTATACATGATTCCTAACAACACAAAAGACAAGTAGTATAGATCTGAGAGTACTCGCAGTTACTGACAGCTAGTTCAAAGCCATTTACTAATAAAAACAATCATCAATACATGTATACGCCTAAAATATCAATATCAGTACATATCCAACATCCAATGGATTTAGTGTAAAAATGGCATTAACATAGTATGCATTTGTATTATCTAGACTATCATATTCAAATTCAAATTGTTTTCAATAACCTTCTCATTTCGACCCTGGGGTTAAAGCAGATCTAGGAAAATTGCTTCATCCTTTTTGCATAGATTTTCAATGTGGGCCGTCTTCACAGGTCTCATCTTACAAAATGATGTCAGCTTTGGTCGATCAATCTTGATTTTCATTTTTTTCAAAACATTGTACTATACACGAATAATTACATCACATGTATGCCTCATTAGACACCGTAATATTGATTAGTTGACAACAATTCCGAGGCACTCCCGTATCAAATTTTATTTCCGTATAAAATACAAGAGTTATGAACTTATGACTGCACGTGCTATTTTTGATAATGCTAAAATAATGCACGAAAAAAAAACCGAAAAGCTTGATATAACTCTTAATTTCATGGTTGTAACAAAACAATGTATGTTTACGAGTTCAAGCGTCTTTGTATAATGTTATAGGGTTGTAAAAACGTTGAATGTGCGCACATTATTAATATGAATGGGCTTCGATCAACGCTTTTACAACCAAATAAAATTACAAATATAGATTCTTACATTGGGACCAGTGGATTATCGGATTTATCCAATCGAGATGGTTAAATTATCGAATTTTAAAGTCAGAGCCTCGGCGATGACTTTAAAATTGATAATTTAACTATCGAGATTAGATAAATCCGATAATCCACGAGTAACCATGTTAGAATATGTTTCTCTACTGATTATCAAATATATTTTCATTTTTGATATACGAAAATCTCCTTCGAGTGCCTTCCACATTCCACAAAGTTGTCCATTTGATTAGCACCTGTTAGCACATTTTTATTCATCCAGTGAGCTGATATAGGTTATGACCCTTCAACTCAACCAATCATCTCCTGAGATCATCTGCAACCACAAGTTGATTATTTTTTTTTATACAACGGGTCAAGAAAGGGTTAAATTGACAAAAAAATTAGAGAAAAAGAAGCATTTAATTCTTAATTTATTTCATCGTAGTTCGCATTCATTGTTACCAAGTAAAAATATACTCTACGCAACGAAGTGCAGAGGGCATAATACTATTGACATGGGAAAATGGGGTGTCTCTTCCTTTATGAACGTATACACAGACGTGCCACTAAAATGGGTCCATTCTTTGATTTGTCAAATATGCCTTCATTTCTTGGTCGCCACTTAAAGCTAACTAGTGAGGGATGTTAAACCACGAGGGAAGTAAATAATATTCATCTAGATTTTCAAATATATTCAAATGTTTTAAATCTAGAATTTATTAAGAATCTTAGGATTCAACTACATTGCGCAAAATTGAATGGATGAATGAGATGGATTTGGGTATTATTTCAAGTCCTTTTTGGTCATATAGCTCTTCAACTGTTTTTTTTTATACATCCTTGGCTTTCGAATATTCGGCTAAGCGTTCCTGTTGAAGATAAACCCACAAAAGCGCTTCTGTCGCATGGCATTTATAAAGTGTTGTTTTCATTTTTGTTACGGGACCTCGGTCGCCGAGTGGTCTGAGTAGTTACTACTGTAATCACTAGCCAGTCAACACTGAGGCTGTGAGTTCGAACCCCGCTCGTGCGGGTGCACTCGACTCCAATCTTACTTGACTAGGATTGTCAGTTTTCCTATCGAAGGTCGGTGGTTTTCTCCGGGCACTCCGGCTTCCTCCATCAATAAAAACGCCCAAAAGCGGTGCTTAAAAGTGGCGTTAAAACACAAAAAATCAAATCAAATCAAATCATTTTTGTTACTCATCAAAATGTGGGATTAGTTGGATATTCAAAATAATCTGAAATATAGGACCGTTTTTGTCGAGGGAAAGACTAGTACAAATATATCATTAAGTAAAGCTGTTGTACGTATCGAGCATTTATAAGTCTGAGATCTTTAACAAAGAGATAGGGCCAACTGTCTCTGAATTCATTTCACACGAGGCCAAATCTCCTTATTTAATGCTTTTTCAAAGTGATTTCAAACCAAAATCATACATTATTAATTTTATTTGAAACATACTTGCAAATTCATATTGTCTTCTAGTCACGGATTAAAGCATGGTTTTACCAAAATGTTTTAAAATGTTCCTTTGTGTGCATATTTGGGGGGGGGGGGGGGGGGGGGGGTTTATATCCCGTTAGTCCGACAACCATTATTCCGACAGCCCATTACTCCGACATTCCATTACTCCGATATCCCATTATTCCGACACTGCATCTGTCATAAGTGTATGGGAAAATTTTCTCCAAAAGACCAACACCGATCTTGATAATATTTGTGGTTGTCCGTTTAGTTTCCAATTATTCTTCTCATGCGTGATATTTGTCTCCGTGCCTTGGAGTTGATAATCATGCTTATTGCAACTGCCGAGTCCTTATCCTCGTTTCCACCTTTTCGTTCTACGGGTCCGGCTATTTTATCTGTCTGTATATTTTTTTGGCGTTTGTGTGTCCATTGTCATTCTGTGTTCTAGTCCCCGGTTTTGTTTTTGTCTATTGACTCTCGGTTTCCCCCTTTCGTATCAAGGGAGTGAAGTTTCACCACTATTAACTACATATTAAATAAATATATTGGATCTGGATAACCCTACCAGCCCTCTTCGGACCTAACACATGCAACTTCGTTTATCACTCAATTAAGTTTTATATAATTTTGTCGCGGAAAATGGCGACAAATGAAGCGTCAGTTAAAAATAAGGAAAATCACCAGACCAATACATACCCAGGGTCCGGAAGAAGTAGATGACAAATAGGACGAACTATGTGCTTCTAAAAGATGAGCAACTACTTCTCCTACATGTTCTCCTGCATGTTCAACAGGGATAGCAAATAGTCCCTTGAGGGCGAAGGTCCTGATGGAGTGAGTTTAAAATACTAAGTACATCATGTGACTTATTAACAGAAGGTGTTCTAAAATGCACAATATTACACTTTTTGGAATTAATAGTCGTACAATTACCTCCACACCATATATCTAATGCATTTGACAGAGTTTCTAATTCTTTTTCATCGTTTGCTAGTATAACCACATCATCAGCATAAAGTGAAATACAAACTTTTTCATCATCAATATCAATACCACACCCATATGATTTCAATAACGAAACTGTCATTTATA